TACACTATTATATACTACTATATACTACGTACTATAATATGCTAACATACCCCAGGCCCGCGCTACGAGACGCCATCGAAAAGCAACCTGACTGCGGCCTGAATCCTGGCCGTGGTCCAACACCAACCCTACAGCTTTTAGGAGTGACATAGGGTTATGTAGGGTTATATCGGGGTTAATTATTGGGGTTATATAGGGTTCTGGGGCTTATACATAGGGGTATAGGGCCCCATAATTACTGGAGAATCGAATGGAAAAGAACGTGGAAAATGAAATGGAAACTCTGCTTTTTTCGGGGATATGTGGTAGTTTTCCAAAACAAGGGGACCCCAAGATAGACCCCAAAATACTATACTGCCGATTTTGGGGACCCCCAACATGGGAAACCCCGAATTCTACTGTGGACAGTAGGCCTTAAACACTTCAATCCACCCTTTCACTTTAAACCTGACATCCGCCCATCCTACTGCCTTAGCCCTAACATAACCGAAAAGGCTACACTGCTTCGCCCCCTCCGGCCTGGCGTTTCCTGAGATTGGCTCAGGCTTCATGCTCTTTGGGTCTTGGACTTTATGATTTGGGCCTTGGGTTTGGGGATCTAGGGGCTTTGGGCCTTGGGCCTAGTTTTGTGCCTCTGAGGGATTAAAAGCTGATGTGGGAGGCTGGTATAATATATATATATATGTGTGTGTGTGTGTACATAAAAACTGTGTGTATATATGTATATATATATGGCATAAAAAAAGCTTGTACGCGCAGGCTCATGCCAAAGACTCTGCATGGGACATTGCTTAGGTATCTAGGGTCTAGTGCTTAGGGGTTTTGGGGTTGAGGACTGAGAGCTTTGGAATAAAGTTGTCGGGTGTTAGTACAGGAAAAAATTGTCGCCGTGGGATGTTATCATGAGGAAGTAGGTTGATCTAGAGAGGTTCCAAAAGGCCACAGCAGCTTTGGATAATGAGCGCAAGTGCTTCGGTCGCGCAGCATGCAGCTCCATAGCTGCTACTGTATAAAGCAATGTTACGCGAGAGTCTTCAGCAATATGGATCCCTAAATCCCCTTAGCTCTATACCCTAAACCCTAAAACCCCTCAAACCCTACATGTAGCTTTTGAGTTTCCTGGCCCCCAAAATGCATTGTAATAGTAGTAGAAACAGTCATGACATATAAGTAATGGTACTGGTAGCGAAACTAATTCTAAGAAGAACACCGACCCATGCTGATAGCATCATTCAAACAAGCCCTTTGTTGAACGATGTTTCTTGGGCCGGCCATGGAAGGCTTTTTCCCACGGTGTAGGTTGAGGATTACTGGGCTTCTTCTAAGAAATAACCATGCTAGTGGGGCCTGAATAATCATCAAAATCCTGTTGCGGTCAGTTTAGGCACCCGCTATAATACAGGGAATCCTGCACCAAAAAGTTGGTGCTTGTTTAGGCCGCTACACTATTACTTGCTATTCCTCTTCCCTCTTCCTTCCCCTACCCACCACCCTGAACCCTAAACCCTAAACCCTAAATCCAAAGCCCTAAACCCTAAACCCAAGGATGACGAGCTGCTGCAGTGGTCGAAGGCCCTGAGCCGGTAGCCTAGCTGAGAGGGGGAGCGGGGAGGAGGCAATGAATCTACTGGGGGTTGGCCGGGAATAAGGGAATGTAGGGGTATAATATAAGGGGTGATATAAGGGGAATATGGGGAATATATTATGCAGGGATTAGTTGTACAGGGATTCTATTCCCATAATCCCTACTGACCACTTGCAACTTAAGTGTCTTACTGATTCAGCTGTTTTAGTATAGCCGAATATGTATTTTCAGCATTCAACGCTTTGGGGTAGGGGATGTTTGGGTTTTAGAGGTTTGGGGGCTGTAGGGGGAAAAGAGGATAGAAAACAAAAACATGCAACTCGATAATCGTGATGCTGACATCTCTTTTTTCCTGTTCCTACGGCTTGTTCCTCCCCTGCCACTGCAATTGTTCAACAGCCTGGCAACGCATGTTCAATCGTTGTACTGGTGCGTGAGGGGCAGTTGGGGAGTGAGTATGGTCACTGTCAGCCGTAATGCAGGGAGATTATTAAAGAGATCCACTCCGCAGTCTCTCCCTGAAGTTTTAAACATCAGAATCCCAGTTTCCATCTTGCTCTCCACTCTGCATTCCGCACCAACATGCCATTGCACATGCCAAGCCCCCCGCCTCTAAGTCGTCCTTCAGCTCATCACCTGTGAGTTAGGGTTCGGGATTCTCATTATTGTCCCTAAGGCGTCTCTTCGAGACATTAGGAAAATCACCGACAAGGAGTAGGCTTGGGGGTCCAGGCTGCAGGGCTTCAGGTTGCTTTAGCTTCGGGATTTTATGGTTAACGTTCAGCCTGCATCCTAAGGCTCAAGTGGCGGCATCCATGACCCCTAAGCAACTCAGAACCCCCTGGATCATCGGGTGTGTAGCATTGCACAAAGGCACTTTGCCTTTCCCATTTATTCAGGGCCCTAACCTCTTGGCTGAACCCTGCAACTCTGCCTGCAACCACTTCGGTAGCGGTGGCAGGGGCACACAGGGACGTCTCATCGGCTACCTTCACGAATGTTGCTTCGGCAGGCGGGCGGAGAGGATCTTGCACCATCCTACACATCCCCCATGGTGGGCACTACAAGGAGGTATCCCAAGCAGTGCAAGACTTCCTCCAGGATGTCTGGCCGGTGTGGGTGCGTAGGTTTTGGAGTGTCAGTACAGCACTGTGTGGCTGTCACCAGGTTCCATTCACTCTCTATCTGTATACGTATACATATATGCTAATGGATAGGGATGACCCCTGTGAAGCATAATGTCTTTACATCTGAGCAGTATGTACCATATATGCATATGTACATGTCATCATGTAGGGACGCGTGTACATAGACCAGCTCTGGGCCAGCGCACGCCCTTGACCATAGCTTTGGCCTCTTGTCTATTGCATAATTCAGTGACATGTTTGATGGAGGACGTCTTGCAACACTTAAGACCACCACCAACCCAACACATGTATATATGTATATGTGTACGCGTATGTATGCATGTATATATGACGTAGGAAACATGTTCTACGCAGATCGAAGGGGGCTGACCATGTACATAAAACATAATTCCGAGGGTATAAGGTACTTAGAGTGGTGCAGGATTTCCTTCATGCACCATGCTTGCTGCACTCATGGTACACCCACTGGACTGCTTGGCAAAAGGAAAGCGCTGAAACCATGAACCCGGTAAACCCTGTGGCGTATGCCTCATACAATCCTTTCCCCGAATATACAACTTTCTCCTTAAGACCATGAAAGGCTACATGTTTCTACGTGTGTGGAGACCTTTTTTGAGGCGGAAGGTGGCTAATGAGGATAAGCTACGAACCCCACACCCGGACCAAGAGTACCATCACTCTTACTCTAACTATTCTAGTATAATCATTGTTGTTGCCACTCGTGCGTTTGCTATTATGCTGTCAATATTATCTTGAGGGGAAGGTCGCAAGGAAGCAACCTCCACATCATTCATCTCCTCGATCTTGGCCTCAAGACCTGCGTAACAGCTGTATGAAACATGTGAAAACCGAGGTTTCAATCAAAGGTTTAGGGTTGGGTGAGAGGTTTGGCTTGCTGTTTGAGCAGTAAGGCTTGAGTTTAGCGGTTGATGGCTTGGGGACGTAAACAAAAATTAAGGAGTTAGCAATCTTGGGCAGTGGGATTCTCTAAATAGAGACTTTGGAGATGTGATGCACCGGGATGCAGAAGGCATGAAAAGGCATGATGGAGCCCTTCTTTCTGAGGGATTGCAAAAGCTTGTTGGAAAGGCTTTCAGTTGGCTTGCCTCATGAGCATTTTCTCATTATATATCTTTCTGATAAACCTTTCGCTTTGCAAGTTTAAGGGGTTCTACGGTATACCGTATACCAATAAGATCGACACGGTCCACCCTAAAATCGTCGCCCACTTCAGCTGTACATCATGAGACCGAAACAGAACGCCCTTTGGCATGCGTTCTTTACCCCTGCAGGAGATCTTCCGTCCTGTAGACAACGCCCTCCCCAAATCTTTCTTTTCTTGGATCTCTCCCATATTGAAGGTTCATCCTTGCCACCAATACACAAGAACTAGTCGAGATCACAATTTCTGGGCCCCGCATCAAGCCCCCACTCACTGACTAAATCCCTTTAGACTGCGAGAGTCTTGCCCCTCCCTTCCCCCTGGGCTGCCTTGACTCTCCTTGGTATGGGGAACGGCAAGACTTGAGTTTAAGGTCCAGGGCTTTGGATTTAATGCTTACGTGTCAGGGTCTATTGGATGGGAACCTAGGGACTTGAGAACTATGTCCTGAGCCAGGTCTTACTTAGGAGGCAATCTTCAAGGAACCTCAGCTTGATGCTACTGCTTCATGCAATGAAGCCCCACAACGTTCGGAGTTGAGAGGGCTTCAGAAAGCGGCAATTAACAAGGCTGCAAGCATCAAGAGTTAATCAGTACCTTTTTTAAAGGTCTCCATAAGTAATAAGGATTGTAGTATTTTGGGATGAATCAATGTTTTAGCATGAGGTACCTTCGTTTCCTGACTCAGCTGCTGGTGCCTTTTCCTTTTTACCAAGTAACACTCCCTGGCTCTGGCCCGTACTGTGGAACACTTTAATCCCTTTCATTGAGTCCACGCCTGAAAATGAAACAGTGAGATTCAATAAAAGGGGGGAGTGGGATGGCATCATAGGCTAGATGCCGCAGCTGACAGCTTGCGCGTTGAGCTCGAAATCTGGAGACATGCAACATGGACATTATAGAGCTGACTACAGCTACAGATCGACCCGAATGCATGCGGCAGGTTCTCTGAGGGATCAGCAAACTCAAGCAGTGCAGGATCACAACCCTGAAGCGGAAACCTCTACACATGTATTCCTGCGCCATCCGATCACTGGCACTTGAACCCTAAACCCTAAACCCTGTTCATTCACACAGCTCCCAACCTGAGCAAATACCAAGGTGCTGCTGCAGTAGAAGTAGAGGGTCCCGAGTCAGTTGCCTGCTCCGAGATCATAGGAAGCATCTCTACACTTCTCCAAAGAGGCATGGAACCTAAAAGGGATGCATCGAAATTCAGCCCCTAAAAATCGACACACTGAAGCCTAAACCGTGTCCTTTGGTCAGGAGTTCTCTGGCATTTGCGCCGCATGACCCTAACTCGGGGAGGACTTTCAAAGCACATTCCCCTATAGGGTTCCTAACAGTTACACCATAGTAGTATAAGGTACCATATTTGGGGCTCTACTTTCTAGATCCTCCCAGGAGTTTCAAGGATTCTTAACATCAACTGTAGCTTCTGGGCCCCTCCAAAACCCTAGCTTGTGAGATGCTCAGCCACTCTCAGGTTTGGCTTTTAGCTTTTTCGATTTTGGGTTGCCTCAAATTCGAAATCCGATGCGATTCCCAAGAACCAAGACTCCCCTGACATACACCTAAGATGGAACATTCTCGCCATCATACGGACCCTCAGAAAAAGGCCGCTGATTTTGGAAACCTACACGATCTAACCTGCTGCACACCGTGTCCCACCTAGCCACTACACCCTAGGCCGATGATTGGAAATGTATCACAATAATCTTCCCATGTAATGTAGGTCCTGCTCGTCGAGCTTGTCCGCAGTTACTGAAATCGTCAGTCCGAATCCTGCTTTATGGCCCTATACTACCCCCTTCTGGTTCCCCTGGATTAAACTCAAACCTTCCTAGGGGTGCGTAAATGAGGCTAATTAAGAGGTAACCAAGGATGGAGCAAGCGATGCCTGAATTTGTGGCGCAAATACGTTACTAGGACAGCCTTTGAGAACCCATGTCTGTTAAACCTATGCCTCAGGATCTCAAAGTAATTACCCACAGCAACCCACCCATACCTTCATGCCCGATTAACAAGAAACAAGGTCACGGGGATTGTGGAAGTTCACTTATAGTCCCTATGTAAGTCATACAAGTATAATATAATAGTACCAAATCAACCGAATTACTGACACCTGCTTGCTAGGGCTCCCGGACCCTAAATCCTAGAACTCCGCGACCATTTTCTTCTCCATGATTACCCTCGTTGGGGCCTCCTGGTCGTGCTTCGGGGTCTCGCCTGCGCGCATGCGGAATTGGAGATACCCCAATACACTTAATCATCTCCCCTTCATATCAAAACGACGTGCCGCTCGCATTTGATACCCCCATTGCGGTTACTGTCATATCTTAAGAGTACTTAATCTTAGGGGGCGGGGGTTCAAAATGTTATGAGGAAGTGATTGCTTTCTGTCATTTCCAAGAAGTCTACAACTGTTCCTGTACAAGAACCATTCCAGACCTGTTCCACAAAGATTATGTCTCAAAAAGACACCAGCAAGGTAGGTTGGTCCGTCTTGGGGTCCCCATATGATACTGCCCCTCATATCTAGCGCACCCCAAAAAGGGGCAAACTTGTGAACCCCATCACTTGCAGAGCATGTTCATGGCTGCTGCAACCTTGTTTGAAAGCTCTACATGGTAGTTTCCCCAAATAAGCAGACCCAATATAGACCCGAATATGCTATAAACCTTATTGTAAGGACCCCCGAAATGGTACACCGAATTTCATGAAACCCCCGCATGGTATTTCCATGGAGGCAAGAAGCCCGTGTATAGCTACCCGACATTCAGACTGATGGTAAGTCAGGGTAGCTCTACTTTGACTGGGTTTACAAACTGGCATACAGATTTGGGTGCCTCTCCACATATGGTGTAAGGCAATACAAGCTTGCGAACGCCCGCCAAATTCCAAGTCCATGTCGCGCTGAACACCCATTGAAGCACTCCACCGAAAGCGTAAACCGTCGTGTCGCTCCCGGACCCGTGGCCAACATGACTTAGTCAAAAACTGTCAGGTTCCCCCAACGACAGGAGCTGCTCTTAACAGCGCGGGCCTATATGCATGCAACCAAAGAGCAAGATCCTTATGCTAAGGACTCACTCGAGTCTCGGAGTCTCCCTGCTTTATGGAATCTGGATCCGTGCCTTCCAAAGTCTCCGACAGAATTGACGCTTGAACCTACGCAGATTTGTCAATGGAGAGCAAGGGGTCATGCTTGGAGGGGCCGGGTGGGGCTTGGGCTAACTTACTGCAATGGTTGCTGGTGAGGAACTCAAGAATAAATCACTACAGTGAGCCCTATGTCATCCTCAATGATACCATACTTTCCATGTGCTTTTCCATACCCTCATCCTCAGCTGAGTACAATTTTGCCTGAACCCTTGATACTGCCATATCCACGCATCAAAATACAGTACATGGCACACATATGCGACCACATAAGCCCCATACAGTAAAGCCTCCACGGAACCCTACAGCAACCACCACCAAGTCAAGGGCGTGGGCTTCAACTGCGGAGATTTACGTCTGATCATTTAGGATTCTAGGATTTCACGGATGAACCTTTGGAGTTGTAGAGCTACGAAATTTGGAGGTGCTCTCCTTACCTTTACGAAAATGGTACCCCCCCCCCCCAAGAATCAACCTTTCTTTAGGGTGGCACCTTTTTCATAGGCATAAGGGGGGGTGCTTTATTATAGAATGTAGGTATGGGGAGGGCGGGGTGCTTTATGCTAAATATGCGACTCAACTCTTATGCACAGTTCAGCTCTCAGACCTCTGTATCAGATTCAATCTCCCCTAGCCCTGGATTGAAGATTGAAGATCCTGAGGAACAAACTTCTTCAATCCAGGCCCATGCTAAAGGAAAACCGTTCGTTCAGCCATGCCTGCCCAAAACCCTAAGCCCCAACCCAAAACCCTAAAACCCTTTCGATTGGACCCTACAAGGACATCGGAATCTTTCACAGGTTTCGGCCAGGCTTTGCGGGCATTTCCGGGCACTTAGTTCCAAACCCTGCTGATCCCTGCTGTACAGAAGTAGGTTTGGGGACCCTATACAACTCAAAGTGTTGTCGTCTCATAGTGGTTTTGTAGGGATATGGGGTATCCATTGAAGGATCGTACTTGTCAGGCCTCCCGCTGCGCGGGTGTGAGGTATGAACAGGGTTTAGGGCTCAACAATTGAAACAACATCCCTAACCCTGTTTGTGCGAGATTCTAGGGGTCCTTGAGGGAATGTACGGGGCATCTAAAGGAATACCCCCACCAAACAAGGATGAAATGCCAAAAAGTCCCTACGTGCAGTTCCATGCTTGCTTGGGAAAGGGCAGCACCAAGAACCACCCAGAATTTCAACAAATATGGTTGAATTAAGGACTGTCCCCCAGATTATTATCAGCGTCCACATAGAACCTGAGGACACATTCTTTACATGTTTGGGAAGTCCTATGCGGTCACTGCGGGGGCTTGCAAAAAGCCATTTGTGCGCAGGCCGAAAGAGTAAGCCTTACCCCAAACCGGAACTAGGTTCAAGCTTCCTTGGAGACAACTGGGGTACAGGGACACTAGGCCTTTTTTTAAGGAAGCATGGGGATGATTTGGGTGTTATATCGGGATGTAAAATTGGGAGGTGGGGGTATATAGGGTTTCGGGATGTTTTTGAAGATCCCCTGCTAGGGCAATCAGACTTGCATCTCACACTTTGATATCTCGACAGCCTGACTGCGCGTCGGCAATGAAACAGCTGCCGTGTGGCCAAAGGTTATCTCCTCAGCTTTCCACGTCATCAAGGGACTAAACTAACAAGTCCTTCTGGTTTTGGATGTTTGAAGGTCTAGATCTGGTGAGCTTCTTCTGGAGTGTGACAGAAGGCAATGTGTGGCTTGAGAAGGCTCTGTGATAGGCTTCAAGGCACGTTGCGCTCACAATGTTTTACGAGGAGTACACAAGCTTTGGATACAGCTCTAGCAGATGGCAACCCACAGACAGTGATCACAGGGAATCATTATAATTATGCTCGTAATTCTGCTCATGCCCCTGCCTGCTGAGTTCCGAGGCCCAAGCAAGATTGACATTATAGTTCAAATGGTAGCTTCCTTACAAAGATCCCCAAGTACTAGTCCTTATTATACGGACTTCCAAAAAAGCACCCCCAAGTTTGGGAAACCCCAAATAGCAGTATGTGGACCCCTAAAGGTTGAAGCTTTCCTGCTCAATTTTACTGTCCAGGGGACCCCCAGGTTTGGGAGAGCGGCAAGTGCTTGCTGGGCTATGGGTTTAAGGTTTTGACATGGTCACGGAATGTTGGGAATGGGGATCCCCAAAGCATTCGCACCCATATTGCAAGGACTTCAGAAAGGGCTCCCTAATGTATGGCAGCTTCCAAATGGCTTCTTTGTGGCATTAAGAAGAAATGGGTCTGCGATCGATTCATGAAATTAGCGGCGAGCCTTGAAACATTTAATGTATCACAGCGCCTTGGTAGCCTGTAAACTCACCAGGAATGCACCTCAACCGGCTACTCTGAAAAAGACCTAGCTTTTACGTATCTAGTTAATCAAAAGCCCGGGCCATCTAGAAATCCCAGCAAGAAGAATACACCAAAAAGGACCGATTTTTTTCCTGGGCAGGGACCTTAACTTGGTCTAGCCTGTCCCTGGAGCCCACAACTCTAAAACCTTAGACCCTAGACCCAGCACCCAAAAAGCCCTGAATACCCGAAACCCCACAGGCCCTAAATACCCAAAACCCTACCTAGACCCTCCAATGCAGGACCTTTTTGGTAGTCCTAATACGAGTCCTAACCAACAAACCATACCAAACCCAAAAAGGAACTACATTGGAGGGTCTAGGTACAGGCTGAGCCCGACACCAACTCCTCTGATGCAGCTCGGACCTCCATCACAAGGCTTCGGGCTTGCGCTTCGGGAATTTAGGGGTTAGGGCTTTGAGGTTTGGGGTATTTAGGGCTTTTGGGTACTTAGAGTTCCTAGACCCTCCAACTAAACCTTCTATTAGGGCCTAGGGGCCCTATAACCTGTGTTATCCTATGCAAATCGAGGGGCCTGGCCGGAAATATCTGCGGAAGCATTGACAGGTCTCTCACGACCGGGCAATCAGATTTTTGTTGTTTTCAAGGCCAGATCAACCCACAACCAATCTAATTCGAGGTGTCGTAGTCCAGCTGACACCTCAGTGGCGATTTTCAAAAGAGGCTTGCACCGTGCGTACCACAGATCTTCGTGACCACGTTCAGGGGCGCTACTTTCGCAGCCCTGAATTTTCACGAAGCCTAGCTTCAGGCGCTCTGAGAACCCAAGAAGTGCAAACAGTCATTTGCCATAGGCTTGCAGCATCTCCGCCTGGAGTATTCCCTACTACTTGGGCACTGTGCATGACAACGGGAATGTTCGGAACAAACTTCATTGAAAAGAGCGAATAGTTTGTCCAACACCCTGAGCTCTAAATGTTCCCCTACAATGTTACAAGAGCTCCTGGGAGATCTGATGGCCCTTTGCTGATTTGCTTTTCAGGGCTTATGGACCGTTACTGTAAGCTATTTTCATTGTTGGAATGCTCACTTGAGTTACGCACCTCTCTGGATCTTGCGTACAAGGAACGTTAAAAGGTGTATTCAATGGTCCAGTAGAAGGGGAGGACCCAAGCTAAGCAATTTTTGCGTGAATGGCGCGTGGCATGGCAAAGTACATCCTAGTTGAAGCGCTCATGGTAGATATGGGAGTCTCTCAGGATAGGATGCCTCAACGGACCTTTCTGATATATGGTAGTTTTCCATAACTAGGGGGACCCCAGTATAGATGCCCAAATACTATACTCCTTTTTACAGGGACCCCCAAAAAGGTAGTCCGAATTTTGGGAATCCCATATAGAGCCTAGTAGGAGATAATGGGGTCCCTACTACGGATCGCATAGGGATTCTTTTGGGGAAACCCTTTTCAAGCCCAGACCCTAACACTAAACGAGCCCAATGTCTAACCCCATGCCCCGGGCTCAATTCCGCCTTAAGCCTAATAACCCTAAATCCTACTTGGAGCCTCAGGGTTGCTTGGAAAATGGATAATAATTGTGAAGCTTGAGGTTCTCCTGTGGCCTGAATTATATGGATTGCAACTATCCTGGTCAAATCCCTGACCCTCCCGGATCCTCCCTAGACCCTATAAACTCTAATAAGTTTCACTCCGGTCCCTCCTGGCCTCCCTGTGCTTTGGGCTGGTAGCAGCCGGATCGGCCGCTGTAGCTGCGTTGGCCTTCTGGCCACGGTTCTTGTAGTCATGGTCATGAAGAAATGCTTTACTCAAGGGTCAAAGGATGAGGTTTTGCCAATACGGTATTGCTGGTAGGCAAAAACACAAGCGATAAGAAACGAGGAAAAAGAAAGGTGTAGTAGTAGTCAGTAATGACATGTAATCTCCGCATGCCATGCACTAAACCTCTGTCCCCTTGAGAACATCTCTGCCCGCTGGGTTGGTTTAGGGGTGTTTCTGTCCATGTTTGCATCCCTTTACCCAGGCGGACACCGCGCGAATAGGTTCCAGACGGTTTGGATTAAGGACCATAACGATGGCCTCTTGAAGCCATACTCAGGGTTTAGGGGTCTCACAGTCAAACAGATTTCCTAAAAAGTATGCTGTACTCCATGCTCGTTCGGCGGAAATCCTACACTCAAAGCCCAATGCCTTGCCGGCGCGCGCACTTCGTAATGTGGCCAATTGGTCGGCACACACCTTGAACCACCTAGGTAAGAACGTTGCAACAACCTTTCGTCTAAACCGTAGGCATAAAGGGATATTGGGTACAACCTGGTTATATCCCCAAGCCACATGATCTCGACCTCTATAAACCCTGAACCCCAAGCCCCTCATCCCCTAAACACTTAAACCCTGAGCCCCTAAACCCTAAACCGTTATAGTAGTTATCATATTCTTGCCCATTATCCCTATGTAACCCCAACATATATATGTATATATATATATATGTATATAGGTACCCTAACAATCATTAAACCCTTAACCCTAAACTGTCTGTTCCCACTGGGCTTCGCGCAGGCTTTGTGAGCTCTGGCTCTGTCGTCTCAGGCTCTGTCAGCTCCTGGGTCACTTCCAGACAGCAGGATGAAGAAACCGAGGTGAAATAAACATATAGGGGACTACTATAAGCTCTAAGGGATTTGGAACCCCAGTAGAAATTATAATTTCAGCTAAATATTAGGATTCTAGGTAACAGAAATTAAAAATTATTTTCAGGAACCTTGTAGTAAGGGCTATAAAACTCCTTTAAAGGGGTTATACAGGGGAATATACAGATTGGGTACAGGTGAAATGGGATATTACCCCAAGACTGGAGAATCAAATGGAAAATGAAATGGATACCCTAGGTCCCTTTAAAGGGGGTATATAGGGATATTATACCCCAAGAATGGAGAATCAAATGGAAAGAAAATGGAAAATGAAATGGAAACTGGGATTATATAGGGGTTATTCGTGTAGATATCATCTTGGGTACTGCCCTCCCTCAGTAACAGTTGGATAGTAATCATAATATGGTTATATATAGCCCTTAATAGGACCCGTAATGTAGACTGTTACTGGGTGGGGGCAGTACCCAAGCTAGGATGTACATCAGAACAAAAGGATAAAACCAGTCCCTCTGCAATTTCTCTCCAGAAGAATAACCTTTGCAAACTTCAACATGTTCTTGAGGGCTTCTCGGATGATCTATAGGATTATATAGGGCTTAGGGGTTTAGGGCAGAGACCACCGACCTTGCAGCAGAGTTTGGGGTTTAGGGTCCCAGGGCATCGACCGTGTACCTGAAAATTCTCTACGACTCCCTTGGTAAGGCTTGTGGATGCGACACCTAACCTCGTACCAACATCCTCTCCTCTTTACTCCTTTAAAAGCAGTAGTAGGAAACCTAGCAGCCTTAAACCCTTAAACCTCGAAACCCTAAACCCCCTACCCTAAGCCCCTAAACACTAAACCTTAAAGGTTTCCGGATTCCTTGGCCTTCCATTCTCAAAGGCCTAACACCGTCCCCCCAAACTAACATGGAACCTGCAAAAGTCAAGGTTTGGGTATGTAGGCTTTTGGGCTTATATGGGGGTTACATAGGGGTTATCTAGGGAATTTATAGGGATAATGGAAAACAAGCTGGAAGCTACTATTTAGGGTTTAGGGCCTAGGGTTTAGGGTTTGGGGCCGGGTTTAGGGATCGGGGTTTAGGGTTTAGTCTTCGGGGTTTAGGGCCTTACAAAGGCTACTGGCATGCGTAAGAGGCCTTATTTGGGATTCCATGTTAGTTTGGGGTTTAGGGTTTTAGGATTTATGGTTTGGGGGAAGGTTAGCTGAGCTTTTTGCTGAGAGCACACGAAACAGAAAGCCAATCGGAGTCTATTCTCTTGAAGTACTTTGATTCCAAACTCTGAAGCCTTGAGCAGAAACAAAGGCTCTTACTCCACTATATGAACTTAGTATTTTCCATTATCCCTATACAGCTCCTATACATTCCCTATTAGTGTTGGACCCGCTTTAGTATGTACGATCCCCCGCAAACCATTTTTGGACCCTGACTTAAAATTGTTTGAGGGGTCTCAGCTGAATCGTCATGGTGTTAGTCGTGGTATTCGTATTAGTATTAGTAGTAGTAGAACTAGTATCAGTATTCGTGTTCGTAGTAGTATATTAGTATTGTCTGAGCAGCAGGCATGTGAGCTTTGAGGCTTTCAGTTGAGTTTGAGCTTGCACTTGAGTTTTGAGTTGATCAAGCTAACCCCTGAGCTGTTCAGAGCTTCAAAGCAGATGGTAAGGTCTATGAATTAGTTACCCTTAAGCTCTGACTTATCTCATGAGAAATAGGCACTTACTATTTAAAACTAAATTTCAAATCTTTTCAAACCTAAAAATTAGTAATGTTACACCCAAAACTTGACATTAAACAGGGTCCCAAAACATATCTCAAATCCTGAATAAGCCCCGAAAACTTGACATAAAGAGGTTGCCCACCCATATGCGGGTCCGACATTATAATATAGTAGTTTCCATTTTCTTTTCCATTATCCCTATATAACCCCTATATTAACAAACTCATAATCTCGCTATATAGGCTAATAAGATTCTCACTCCATGGGTTTTTTGAACTCTCGGACATGCTTCAACTGGCTCCTCATTGGGGATTGTCTTCTTCCACTGCGATACATGAAGGGTGGGTCTTACTCAGCATACTAACCAATCACCTGATCTCCATGAATTGCTCCCTGACCATACGCATGCGCTCTGGGGGGGTCAATTTTGGAAATGGCCTCGAGTCTGCTTGAAGCCTTCCTGTCGTGATTTTCGGGATGGCTTGAACCTCATTGGAGGGTCCAGAGCCAGAAGCACTTGGATCGCAATTAGACGGGCAGCATCAGGTTTGAGTTGCTTCATGCCACCATGGGGCCTCCGAAGATAACCATCTCCATGACACAAGGTGCTTGCCCTCTTGGAAATCTTCTTTGGCAGGAATGGAGGGTAGGTGGCGTCTATCATGTATGGAAGAACTAGCCTGGAGAATGCAATGAAGATTCACCCTAAACTTCGCACCCTCAAACAAATAGCTAAAATAACCATGAAAACTAAACCTTCAACCCCAAGCCCAGTATGGGGGCGTCACTACCAACAACCGTTACCTTTACTTTCATGAAGAGACCAACTTTCCGCCTGGGCCTGAGCGCGGCCCCAAGCCCCCAACTTACTTTAGGGCTTCGGGTTAAGGGTTTAGAGTTTATGTTGGGTACTGCCCCCACCCAGTAACAGTCTATAATAGAGGTAGTATTAAGGGCTACGTAAAAATGTCCTGTCAATATTTTCCGACTGTTACTGAGTGGGGGCAGTATAGAAAGCACTGTTTTCTTCCCATTCTCCTACCACTTGACCCTTCGTGATTTTGCAAGGAAGCCGGGTTCCCATTTTCATGTTCATGGTATCCCCATCATGGAGAGCGGCCGATTTAAACTCACCAACATTCCCACGGAACCCCAACCAAGTTTACAATATCTTCACTTAACAGGATAACGCCCCTGATTCCTAGAAATCTTAGAGGGTTGAAGCCCCCGTCCCTACAATCTTGGACATCATTGAGATTCAGTCAAACTGTCTACGTCCCTCATCGTTGACTTACTAAACCCCAACACTGCCTAGAACCGTTACCCTCTCTCTCTCCTGCGGACTCAGTTGCCTGTCAGCCGCAAGGCTCGTTCTCCGAACAAAGCCAGTAGCGCAATCTTGCATGGACTGTACACAAGCTACACATATATAGAATCACCTCGAAAGACGATTGCTCCTAGGCCGTTACCCAAACTCATGAAACCCTACTTGCAACCGCATAAGCAACCCTAATCCTAATCCCTGACCACATGGTAGTTCCCCCAAACAGGGGGAACCCCAATCCTTATGATGGCGACCCCCAGAGAAGTACCCCTGATTGTGCGAAACCCTAAGCCCGAATCCCGAAACCCTATATCCCCTCTAACCCCTTATAGAAGCCTGTATAACCCCAAAAACACTCTTTGAAGGTACCTAAAGTTTTGGGGAACCCCCCCCAACTCTCTTGGGATCCAGGGTCTGGCTCGGTGAGTTCTGGAGCTGAGTCAAGCCGTCCGGTCTCTTTCAAGGAGCTGACCTCACCCGAAACGGGAGGGGAGCATGAAATTCAAAGGCCGCGGGTTAAAGATTTGGCCGGAAACCCCTGAGGGCTTCAGGCTAAAAAGCGACTTCTGCGGGCTCTACCCCTCCCACCGCGGTTTTAGGGCTTCGGGCTTGCGGCCGCAAGAGTCCCAGTAGCGGGAGGTATGTTGAGCGTTGGCTTCTTAACTTTAGGCACTGTCAGGAGTCATGGGGTGTTAGGCTCAGGGCTTGCAACCCTAAATGCCCTGGACCCTCGACGTCCTGAAGCCTGAAACCGCAACCCTCACTCATGATCCGGAACAGCGTCTAAGGATGATAAACAAAGAAGCTCATGCCACTACCGTAGCCCTGTCGATATGCACTCAAACTTAGCAAGGCCTAGGCTTCGAAGCCTTCATAAGCACTCATGACCCTTTTCCCCCATACCCCAAACTCTGTGCAACGGCCTTGTCCCACAAGCCGCAAACCCTACACCCTGAACCCTAAGCCCCCGAAATCGCAGCCATGTCGCGGTCAAGAATGAGCGCCTTGAGGCATTGGGTACCAAGCGCAGGGTTTGGGGGTGTGGGGATAAGCGCGTATAGTCACATAGTAGAGGCCTTGGTTGGTTGCAGGAGATAGAGGGCATGCATTTGGGGGTTCGGCGCTCTGAAGAACCTTTTCTTTCCCGCGAAGGCTTGGGTCAATGATGGTCAATGGATGCGGCAGTGTTGAGGTGGTTATGGTTCAAGGACGGGGCTTTCAAGCTCAAGATCTTGAAGTCTTGGGCAAGGATGCGGAATCAGCCTAACGTCTGCTTTAGCGTGCTAGTGTGAGTCCAGGAGTGGGATTTTGCGGTTCAAGGTCCACGTTTACAGGCCAGAGAGGTTAGCACGTATGCGGCGCCATCGCAAACTCCACGCCATGCGTCGGCAACCACAGCTGAGGAGTGCAGTGTCCAAGATCGGCCTTCTCTAGATGGGAGGAATTCATTTGCAGATGTGGGTCCGCAAGAAATCTCTTCACACTTACAACAAGAACTCAACCTACTGGGTTGACAGCCCACGCTCATAGTTTACAGCCTTCGTTGAGTATTCTGGTAAGCAAAATGTCCAAAACTGCCAGGATCCCTCCCTGGCTACGCCGCATGAGGCGGCTTTCGGACGAGGAGCCCTCTGCTTCTCATCCGGCCTGGAGAGGCTTCGCTGCCTGTGAGATCTAGGTGTCTGGGCTTCAAATTTAGGATATAGTCCCCCTTAAGTAGATAGAATATGGCTTTGGGTATATTATAATAAGATCCCCATATACTCTATATTCTATCTACTTAAGGGGCACTATATCTTGGAGCTTCAGAGTGTAGGCCTCGGGGTTGAGACCGCGGACATAGGCAGACGGGAACCCAGTGGACTCTTTTGGGTGAAGTCTTCAGATGAAACACCAACACAAAGAGCACGTGCAATGACACACGGGACACAGGTCCTTTCGCACTCTTACTCTACAACCCTCATTTGGTGGCGATGAACCAAACCAGTCGCTAAGAAACACTAGGCCTCTCGCTTGTCCGACTCTGCGGCCACTGTACCGTTGGAAGGGTTATAGGCTGAATACTCCTGAGGCCCGGGAGCCACCATGGACAGTGCTAGCAGGCAGCGCCACTAGCAATTTGAGATCCAAAGACTGTTACAGCGTGCACGAAGCTTTAACAGGTTACATGATAGTTTCCATAAATAAGGGGACCCCAATATAGAGCCCACAACACTAGAATCCCCATTATAGAGCACCCACCCTTCCCCAAACAGGGAGCCATATGTTTCGAAGCCCACATGTGATATAAAAGGCTATATCTTCGCATTGAGGGCCGACAAATGGGCTAAACTTAACGAGTAGGCACGATTGCTTGCAGGCTCTGGGACGGGAGAGGTTAGGGATTTGGGTTTTCTGGTTTGTTTTAGTTTAGGGCTATTGTCGGGATGGTATCAACAATGAATGAAGACAAATTCATATTCTTTATTGAGTTGTAGTGTGGCAAAGAAATTCAATTCCACGTTGACCCAGTCTATGGAGGAACTCAGGTTCGCAACGCGAACGTAGCCGAGGCATAAAGCAAGGTCTAACGTCCGGATACCTCAGCATATTGGGGTCTGAAACTACTATAAAGGGTTAGTGTTTGGGGTGCTAGAGAAAGAACTTACTAAGCACTCAGTCACATGAAAGCCCATGTGGCTAGGCTTGTTGGGGGTGGTTGAAGGCTTTGGCTTGCAAGGCTCGCGTAATGGTCTGTATAGGCCTCCTCTAAAGGTACCTACCTGTAACAACCCACCTGCACGACATGACTGCATGTGGAGGTATACCCCAAGGCCACCCGATACCAGAAGTACACACTATCTTCAGGGAACTTCAGGTAAACACCGAGAAGCTATTACTTGAAACTACACTAGTTGCAAGCTGTCCGGCCGAAGCTGCCAGGATAAGTGCAACTTGTCTTCAAGACGAATGGTTGAACACAGCAAAAGAAGGATCCCAAACCTTGAGCCCTAAACCCTAAATTAGGCCCTAAACCTTAACCCCTAAACATCAACCGTAACCCTTGAACCCTGAGCCCCTACGTAAAGCGTCAACTCTCAACCCATGCTATGGCAAACGCCTGTGGCTGAGGCCATGGATCGCGCCGAGCACTGCGATCCTCGGTGAGCCAGAGACTTTCTCATGGTCAAGATGTTTTTCAATTTAGGGTTCAGAGTTTGGGGGTTGTGGTCTAGGGTAGGTCTGAGAACAGGAACAGGGTGAGGGTTTTAGGCTGGTGTTAATTTTAATCTGGAAACAAATTAGGCTTTGCAGGCGCAGGCCTTGGATGGGTTGACGTTTATCCGGGCAGGAACACTTCTTGGACTTTATTAAGAATTCTCATCTGGCTTACGTTAGTAGCTTGGTTCCAGAACGTCGAGCAGAACGGAAAGTCAGTAAAAGGCATTTGGAAGTCCTGGGGATGCCTTTGATCCTCACCTATACCCTGAACCCCGCTGGAAGTCTTGAGCAAATCCAGGCTGAAATGCTGAAGCATGAGTTCTTCTGATTTGGTGCGTCTAGCCTTTGGATTCATGATTTGGCACATAGGGCTCAGAGCATAGGTATGAAGGCGTTGCAGGGCTAAACCGCACCAAGAGTGCCCCATCCCAACATCAAGCACTGCTGGGAATTATAAGGCCATGTATTCTCACCAAGCCTCACGAGCACCGCAACCCTTGGAGGATATGCCCTGATTCTGATTGCTACCTCCGAAATACAGCCAGAGCTCTTGAAGAACGCGCTGTGTGGAAAGACCTGGCTGAAGGCAACGGCAACATTAATATGGGATTCCTCAAAAATCGTTGGGGCCTGGATGTGGTACGTTACTAGCAGCACACAAGAGAAATAAATCTTCGTGAAGATTGGTCAAGGGCCTATACCTTTTTAAGAGGCTTTTCGTGCCGGCCATAAGCTAGACCCCAACACGATTATCCTTGCTCTAGGCAACCTCAAAGAGCCGCCATTTATGGAACCCACACGTGAACATGTTTCCAACTGGGGCTCTGTTTTGTTGCGACCCCTAATGCTGTGTTCCTGATTGTCAGGCTTCCAATGACGGATTTGCAGCTGAGAAAGCGCCGTTCTTGGATACATTCAATGTCCTGGCAACATGAACCGTTTGTGGCTTCAGAGGGAATATATACGGATTGGGGGCCATAATGCTTAACAACTCTTTGCAGTAATACCGCAGCATTCCCAAATATGAACCTTAAGAACGGCAATCATGACGATAATCTTTGGGCAGTTCTCAACATCATGGTCCCCGTTGTAGGTCCCATCTATTTTGCGGCCCTAGGAATCTGAGGTCCAAGAGCACTACTTTGAGATGTCCAAAGTAGTAGACCATGCACCACAAGAAAGTCAAACATAACTCTGAGACAGCGACACTTGTGTTAAGCTGGGACATCTGTGGTAAGCTGGGCCCTTAAGCTAGCTTGGGGAGGGGGAGAATCTAAGGAGGAGTAAGGGAGTGGATCCCTGTAATCATCCCTACAAACTCTCGACATGTACCATTCTACTTGCATGTGTGAATGATATTCTCAGAATTATGGCCTTTAGGGCATATGCCCTTCCTTGGTTTTTGGACAACCAAAACTAACCGAAAGAAAATACAACCTTTTGGAAACCCTATGCTCTTAACCCTCCCCCCCCCCCGGAAACAGCATGGAATCCTATGTAGCCTCTGTCTCTATCTGTCCAACATACTTTTCGGGGCTCCATGTTCATCCCCTCCCCCAAAACCCCCAAATAGTAGCCGAGAACAAAACCAACCAACCCCCCAACAGTGCCCGGAGGCCTGGGAGAATCTGGGTCTTCTCCAGGGCCCGGGAGCTTCAGCATTGGCACGAAGCCATCCTCCGGAAGCTCAAAAGATTGCATGGTGGTATCTAGGGTCTAGGTTTGGAGATGGAGGGGTCTGCAGAGTTTATGTGTTGAGATTGATAATGGCTTCGTAAGAAATACAGATTGCAAGGGTTGTCACAGGGGTTGTGGGTAATTACGCTGGGGTAGTATTCTCGTGATCTAATGAACATCCTGGAAACCCTACATGGATACCCAAAAAAGGCACAGAAACTTCCGCACCCCCGGTGTGGATTCTGCCACTTGATGCCGCCATTGTATTTGCTTCGATAAGAAAGTTCCGAAGTGGGGGTCAGCGTCTATACCCGGCCAAGTGTCTTCATCAAAGGCATCAAGCCGCTGCAGGAAGAGCTCAGGCTCTTCGATGTCTCCGAGCCATAGCGTCCCCTCTGCACTCTCGGCTTCGTCGTCAGCACAAGCAAGTGCTGGATCGGAGCGCCGGAATCCTTGAGCTGGTACTGGGCCAGAGCCATCAGCCTCTGCAGAGCGCCGTCCAAAGGAACCTAGGACCTCGTCGGCACTGTCTCGCTTTGCACGCAACTGTTGCGAGCACTTGTGTGCTTGCGCGAACAAGTGTTTCGGTTGCGCTCTTCGACAGTGGCCTGCTTGGTAGGGTTGGATGTGACTCCCCCAGCCCGAGCCCGCCACTCCGGCAAGAAGCGAGGGAGGGAAGCAAGAACTGCCCTGAACTTACTGGTTCTGGATAGGGAATATGGGAATGTACTCCCTGTATAGCCCCCATATACTTTATTCCCTACTAAGAACCAGTAAGTGAATCCTGAATCAGGAATGGGACGTGTGAGCCGCAGGCTCCCCTTTTGACAGAAAATTGAGGGGCACCCGCACCCCTTTCACACCAAATTGAGGGGCGCCAGCATACTCATCAGGATCCAACATCCAGTTTCAGTAAGTATAACCCTAACCCTATCATCCCGAGACACTCCACCCTCAATCCCAGGCCCTGTGCCCAATGCCCTACATGGTAGCTTCCCGAAATAGGGGGACCCCAATTTCCCTAAATAGGGGGACCCCAACATAGAGACCAAAATGTTATAGTCCTTGTTATTGGGATCCCAAAAAAACGACCCTTAATTTTGGGAAACCTTAAACCCTAATCCCTATATACTCGATTATAAACCCTATAATCACTATAAAATCCCTATAACCTCCATATGAGGTATCCCTAATCTTTGGGAACCCCCTAAATTCTCTACCCCAATGGCCTCCATGGCCGGTGCTGTGGTCTCCGGCCGAGACTCTCGGCCCGCAGACTGCGAGTTTAGAAGACCTTGGGTTTAAGGTTTTGGGGTTCAAGATTCATTACAACCCGACTAAAAATTACATTTTTCGTTATTATTACGTAGGATTATACTACCCAGAAATTAGAAATCATTTTGGAGGCCTCTATAGTTTATAGGCTCAAGGTTTAGGCACGCGCATCAAACTCATGGTTTAGGGTTTAAGGTTTGTGGAGTTCAGGGTTTGGGGGTTTAGTTTACGTTTCACGGGCTGGCGGCTGCGGGGTTAAGAGTTCGGAGTATTGGGTTCGGGGATTGAGGCTCCGGGGTTAGGGATCAAGACTGGATGGTTTAGAGTTCAGGGGTCCAGGGTTCAGGGTTGGGGTTTTCAAGAGCTTCAGAGTTCGAGTGGTGTTTTTAGGGCTCCGGTTTTGGAGGTGAGGGTTCAGTGGGGCTCTAAGCTGAAAGGTTTTGGGTCTCGTTCAGGATGCGCAATTTGGGCTTGGGCTGTAGCAGGCACGGCAGCGCTGTACACATGATACTAAGGACAGCATAGCGAGAAGCGGCATCATACAAAAAGAGCTTCAGGACTATCACTGTACGAGTAGCATTGATAATACTTACCATTCTAGTACTGCCCCCGTCCAGCAACAGTCTATACTAGCGGTCAAATTAAGGGCTCCATCTATTCCTTTTATAATGATTATCACACTGTTGCTGAGTGGGGACCATACCCATGGTAGAATTTCAGCAACATCATAGCAGCAACACTCACAGCGACAGGAGCATCGGCCTCGAGAATAAATTGGCCTATAATGTAGACCCATGATTAATAAACCCCCGCCTTTAAAGGCCCTAATATTAGGATCCCTACTACAATCCCGATTAAGGGGCGTTTCATTAAAGGGGTTATAGGGGTTTCCCGAAAGAGGGGCCTTCTTGTAACCCTAAAAGCATGGTCATCGTCGTTCTGAAAACTCCCCAGGAGACCTCAACAGTTCTGGACACCTGTATAGCCCTAGGTGGCTTGGCTTTGCGCGCCTGTGGGTAATGTCTGCAGCTCGGCAGCCGCACATATTTCACCAAGCATAGCCTACACGCTTAGCCTCTCGAAGCTCTAAAGGCTTGGACTTCGGGTTCTTGAGTTCATACTCACACAATACTTCGTTATAGCACGTTAGGGACACATGTTTTGAACAAGAGTCCTCCCGAAAGCTAACATGGAAACGCCATAGACGCCTTTCAGAGGATGTAAATCTTAGTGGGGCCCGGATGCGGGGAACGTAAAGCCCTAGACCTGACAAAGGACATACATAATATGCTCCCATGCAATCCCTCCCGAACAAGGCACTCCAAAAAAGGAAGGCCCAATGCTTGCAAGTCCTAATCCTCACAAACCACCTATAATCCAGATGTCCATTTCCTGTTCCAATCTCTGCTTAATTTCAATCTCCATTGTTGCACTAATATCCCCTAAAAACCTTTAACACCCTGTGTACTTGCAGAAGCTCTATATGAGCTATAGTCTAAACTCCTAGTATCCCTCTTAATAAGCCCTATAGTAGTCCCCTATATAATCCCCTATATATCACCCCTTTAAGGAGTTTAGACTACAGCTCTATGTCCCACCTATAATCTACCTTACCCCTTCACTTCCAGAGTCAGTGGCATCGCTGAAGCACTGCCTGGCGAATGCTCAGCTCGTATTCCCACTCCTGCGGCTCACACAAGCGGTTTAAGGTTTAGGGCCCTAGACCTTGGCATAGTGCTCATTATAGGTCCCATCTAGGAAAGTATATTGCGAAACACTATGGAGCAAGTATAGGCGGCATAAGTTACATCCTGGTTTTAACTTGAGGTTTTCCTACCTCGGGTCCAATACTCATCATTCTAATTTCGGGCTCAGTGTTCAGGGCACTGAAGTACCAAAGTGGCTGTGCTTAACAGTGGGGTGGGGTGTTGTATTATGGGCCTGGGACTAGTCTGTGCAAGATGCAATGAACAGGTGAACCTGGCTCTTGGAAATTCGTTCGCATAGTGCTGGAAAGTCTTCCCGTGGACACAATAAGAAGCCACAAGCTGTTGCCACCTTTGCATATCCTGTCTTGAGGGTTTAGGGCCAAGGTCGAAAAGTCCACGTTTGGGTTCAGTTTAGAATGTTGGGTGCGAGTCGTTGTTCAAATGGGTTTCTTGAATTCGGTGATAAAACTGGGGCTTAGCATGCACTGCTTATTAACACCAGCATCTTGGATTGGAATGCTGTCCAAGAACTACAGCAACCCACCCGGCCGACATCTGCTGAGACTGACGCATCACAAACGTGCGACAAGAAGAGCTTGGAAGGTCAGGAGAACATAGAAGGAGGTTGAGACACGGCCTCCCTAAAGCTTTTCAGGGACTATTTTGGGGGCCAGCTTGAGCGACCCCTCTGTATCAGCCAGGCGGTCCTCTAATGGATTCACCCAGGTGCTTTGCTGCGAGACTTCCTGAGGGCGATATACAGAATCACCTGTTTCTTCTTATTATTAAAGCTCACTGGTGGAATGAGGGAAACTGGAAACTACTGCACTGTTGCGAAGCTTATAAGTCCTACTATAGGGATCAACTCCTCTCTTCCCTACTGACCGCCAATACGACAACAAGGAATGCGCTCCAGGGATGCAAGGGCATGTGTGGTGACGTATTGTGGGGGGCCTACATAAGCACCCCAAACGGAACATAAAATGGAATAGAACATCGAAGAAAAACGTACAACTCAAATGGAAATAAGGGGTTATCTAGGGGCTTAGAGATTGCATGGGCCTGCGTAATTACCACTATCAGTTAGTCCTATTTGAGGCACTGTATACCACCCTTGCACAGGTAAGCATCTGAGCCCCTAGATGTATGTTTGCGTCCATCAACGTTGGAATCGCTAGACAGGCTTTCTTCTATATCCAGATTTCAGGTGGCCCAAAAATGATGCGGGTTGCAGGGCAATAGAGCAGATTTCACGGGTCAAAGGCTAACTGACGAAGCGAAAAACAAGGTGTATCGTAGTTGCCCGCTAATCCAGTCTGGGTTCTTGGAGGAACTTGAAAAAATCTAGGAAGGGCCTGATGGCAGTGGCATGGGAGTCACGGAGCTAACTCACAGAGGCAACATAATAGATTCCAAGAAGCCAAGCTCAGAAGCTTACATTGTGGGTGGTTGGGCAACTTCCTTCTTTAAAGGACGTTCCATGAAACTGGCACCCTGCTGGGTGCCTTACTTGAAGAAGTCATGCCTCGAAACAGTTGATCATGTTTGGTCATTTTACTGCTGCCGACTGATATGATGGACTTATCTTGCTTTGATTCGGGCTTCAGGCCCTCAGGCAGAAAAGGTAAGTTTAGGGCTGACGGTGCGCAGCCATCCAGCTAAAGCTTGGCGCATGGCAAACACAGAAATTGTCGCAGTTCCATTAAACCAGCAACCCCTCCGAATGCGAACCGAAGGCAGGATCAGAAGACAACCCTTCCAATATGAACCCCAGTTTCCATGTCATTTTCCAATTGAATTCTCTTCCATATGGGGTGATATCCCTGAGCCCTATAACCCTACACAGTAGTTTCTATTTTCTTTTCCTTAGCTACATGTTCCTAGATAACCGCAATAGAGTCCCGACTTACTTTGTCCGGACTTCATGCCGGAGCGCTAGGAATCAGTGATCATCCCTCAAAAATAAGAACGTGAATCTTGTCCTTGAACCCAACGTTTCTCCAAGGCTCATTAAAGTAGTAGCAATCGCCCTCCTGAGATAGAGGGGGATCCTTATGCAGAGAGTTCCTAGGTCACAACACATGGATGGGAGTCTCCATAACTCGGGGGCCGCAACATGAGGCCTTCTTGTAGCGACTCCCAAAAAGGCCCCCCTAATCCTTGGAAACTGCCTCCAGCAAATGATCCTGACTAGGCAGTGTGCAAAAGGTCCAATTGGAATCATGCCGATGAAGGCTACTCTTTCCTTTCTTCCTTCTTCCTGCCTGCTGCCACAGTTCCGAAGAACCATGAAGAACCATGAAGCCCCTAAACCTTGAACTCAAAAGCCCTGAAATCAGACAGGCAAACTCGCAACGACCGACTCCCAGAGCGAGAGCCGCATCAGTATGAGAGTGAAAAGGTTGATACTCAGGGTTTGAAGCAGCCGCCAGATAATTAAAAGTCCCTAAATAGCACTCAATCTTGCCGCATTACACTTGTAGGGGACAAGCTTGCGCGAAGAAACTGCAGTGGACGAGTTGGACCCCTTGAAAACATTGTAATCTTGTGGGGCGCAGAGACCCTGTAGGGTTTTAGCATGTGTTGACAAAACCCATACTCCGGACTCCACACATCCTTCACATCCAAGTCATTTAACAAGCTTAAGCCCAATCAAGCCAAAACGTTTGGGGGCATTGTAAGCAATTCCCCTTTTGATGAAGGGCGTGATGATGTTGATGAACAATGAAGACGTCCCCCCTTAATAAGTCTTCTTTTGAGGTGAGCTTTTATTGTAACGGTCTATAATGAATAAGAAGAGCCCAGGTGGAATCCAGTAGACTTTAATTTCGAAACTTCTCAATTTCTAATTGATTATCAGCACTGACCAGACTTATACAAGTTCTTTGACAAAATCGTACCAAAGTATTGATAATCAGCGGCTCTTAATTACAATGAGATTAAACTCCGTGATAAAACAATATCTGAGAGCCATAGGAATCTAAGAAGTCACAGAGGTCCCGCATTCTAATGAGGTTTCCTGTAATATTCTTACCAAAATCCTCAGTGAACAGTTTTCAGAACACGGCAGCCTAGGTAATCAAGGAGATCCATACAACTCTTGCTGTCTTATTACAAGCCCTTGGTTACCTCAAAACCTGTGATTATTCATCTTACAGGAACCACAAACAGGCCCTCAAATTTATGTAAGACCCCACTTTCTACTTTGACCTAAGGATACTGCGGCCGCGGTGCTTCTGAGCGGAATGGGCCACTCCTGAGGGCTCTTAATTTTGATTTATATCCAGTGAAACTTTCTGGGGTTCAGGCTCTACAACGAAACTGTCTAAGTAGGGGCCTAGAGGGTTTAGACCTTGAATGATAGGGAAACGCACTCAGGGAACCTCCTCAGTTCAGAACCCCCCGCAGCCCAAACCCTTAAACCCTAAACCCTAAACCCCTAAACCCTAAACCCTTAAACCCTAAACCCCTAAACCCCCCGCAGCCTAAACCCTTAAACCCTACGTAAACCCAAAGTCACAAAAACCCACATGCTCTCCCATGGCCAACGCGAGGGCCTGGGATCCATCAGGTCCTCCATCTAGAGTTTAGGGGTTTAGGGTTCAGGTTTCTAGGAATGGAAGAGAAGATGGAAACTACTTCTTATATAATTAGGAATGGA